TCTACAGAGCGATTTTTCGTGGGATGTGCTCAAGATAGTTTTGAACAGAAGTTAGCGAAACAGAGCTTCACTAAGGAACATGCAAGCCGAAATAAACAAGAGTTACACGGAGGAAAACAACAGTAAAGCAAGCTTCAAGAAGCTGTGTGTTGAGACTGCTTTCACCGGATATTTTCACGCGGATCGCGAAACAGAATGCCTAGAACCAGAAAAAAAGGAGCTCTTACTGAACCTACAGAGCTCGTGAAATGTTCTCTAACCGGTATCTATGCTCGTGTAGCATCTAAGCACTTCACAGACATATCGCACAATTACGTGGGTGGTGAACTATATCCGTGTGCGAGGTAGGCAGGCTCACAAAGGTGGAACTGCACCACAAGCACCATTCGAAAGTGCACTGCAACGAAGCCATACGCTCGTGATAGCATGGTGTTAATTTGGACTCCGCCCGCTATTCGATATGCGAGACACCACGCCACAAAACCACGCCGCACGGCCAATCACAGTCATGTGCGATACTTTCTGCGCCCTCTCACGTAGACAATGCAGAAACAAAAGAAAAATCAAGCCATCACAATCCTCAAAACTCAAATTTCGCTGCGCCACTTCCAGTGATGGAAGCTGCTATAATCTCTAGCTGGCCCACCGAAAAGCTCCACTCTCTCGAGTAATTCCCACAATAAGCTTTAACAACAAGAAGACAATCCGAAACAATCGAAGAGCACATTGATGCTGAGAATATAGAACAAAATAGTAAGCTCGAAACAATCACTGATGAAATAACGGCAATGGCAAGAATGATAATGGCAAAATTTGAGGCTCACAAGGCTACAATACTGATTCTAACCCATTTTACTCCTAAGTCAATTGGGAGCAACCATAGAAGAAGGAGGGCAACTCTAGATTCGGTTTCTGGTTCCGTATACTGATTCGTAACAATCTTGAAAAATGTTTCACGAAAGAGCAACGCTTCCGCTTCAGTCAATTGTTTAGGTATAAAAACTAGACAACCACAAGGCTTCCTGGCAGTCGTCGTCACCGATGCCATGACAAACGGGTTTTTCCCAACTGGTAGGGGCAAATATTCTGATTTTGAATCTCTTTCAGATTCACGGACAGAAACTCTCGAGGAGTCGGTGAGGATGTAGTGATGGACTTTGAATTTTGACCAGCAGAGCGATATGAAACAATGGCATCCTTGACATACTGTACGCCCAGTTAAGAAAACCCGTTTCGCTTTATACTTGCCATGTCGTAATGTGATTTTCATGCGTGAAGCGCAACGACGACATGTGATAATGTCGAGGTAAAGGTCACTGGAGCCCTCGCGAACGAGGCGTCTTACAAGGCATCGACCGTCATCAAACAAGTACACATTCCTTGGCATAGTTTGAAAAGATCGCTGAAAAAGCTGAAAAAGCTAGATACTGTTCAGATACTCACTATACGACTATCTGAGAGCTGCATTCTTTCGGTATTCGAGGTGGACAGGCCTACAGCCGTAGAAGTATACACGGAAGTAGGCGAATATGAAACTAGAGTATCATGACAGTTTGATGCCCTATACAGGGCACATCACTGTTTGGGGATTTCCGCACGACCCCTCCCCCCTTTTTTTGGGGGGTTGGTACGATCCCCCCTCTGGCCCTCTGTACCTCCTCATCGAATCGAGCCGTCGAGCGGGGGAGGGGAAGGGTAGGGGTATAGTACGCATGAAACAGGAAAATCACGAAAAGTCAACCACCACTCCCACCACTCCTAGAAAGGCCAGAAAGTAAATACGACCCCCTCTCCCAACAATGAGCAAGTACGACCCCCCTTTTACAACGTCCGTGAAGCGAGAAAAATCAACTATCAAAATAAATTTTTCTCAGCCCAAATACGACCCTCTGTTGGGGATTTCCTAACAACGATGTGCCCTGGCCTATGCCAACCTTCCATTCGATGCGCGGGGTACGCAACCGCGACCGTTTACGCCATACTAGTCATACGCCTAATCGGAACCGAAACATGCAACTTCTTATGCTGCGTTCATACTTTGTGGCAGCGTCCACCAGCGTCTACCAGCGTCCACTAGCGTTCCGAGCGTCCGGCAGCGTCAGCGACTAGGAAAGTATAGATATCGATCTAGCGTCTGCCAGCGTCGACCAATGTTCACCAGCGTTCACCAGCGAATACGAGTAGAGAGTACGGGGTGATGCGGCGTGCGCAATCGCACTGCGCAACTTCTATAGCATAGAATTACGTCATGTAAAGTAATGTACGGTGAGTGTAGTACGGTGCGGTTGCACAATGCAGTTTCACAACGCCTAATCCAGCTGTTTGCTACCCTCCTACTTCCCCATACTCTCTACTCTCAGTCGCTGGTGAACGCTGGTAGACGCTGGCAGACGCTAGATCGATACCTATACTTTCCTAGTCCTCGAGACGCTGTAGGACGCGGGCAGACGTTGGCAGACATGGTGGATGCTGGCGGACGCTGGATCGATTTTACTACACTTTTTTTAGGCGCTAACACTGCCGGAACGCCAGTGGTTGCTTGTGGACGCTGATGCTGCCGCAAAGTGTGAACGCAGTCTTAGCGACTATCACCCCATATATATAATTCGCTTCGTCTGTTTGTTTGTTTGTTTGTAAGTTTGTCTGTCCGGAAATTCGGTTCGACCTGAAGAACGACTTGGAGAGGTCGGGTCAAGGTGGGGATGGGTAGGGCATGGGACAAGAAATAAAAAGCACACTTGACCTATGGGAAGCCCCGCCCACAGTGGGCGGGGCACTCGCCGAAAGTTTGGGGCTCCGCAGAAAAGTAATCATAATTCGCTTCGGAAGCAGCGTAAAGATGGGGAAAAAGGGATTAAGGTTAGTAAGGAGTCGCCAGACTAACTGTGGAAGACACGTCCAAAATGGGCGGGGCGTACTCATGGTGGGCGGTGCTTCTCGCAAAATTCAGTAACCCTGTTCGCGAGAGTGTTTGGAAGTCGCAAAAAACTCAGTGTAGAATGTAAATATCTGGCGAATATAGGGCACGCTCAAAGTGTGTTGAGACCCGCCCACAGTGGGCGGAGCTTGCCCTTAATCGCAGGGTAATCATTTCAAAAGTTTGTAGCTCGGTTCCAGAACACTCCAGACACCGGAAAAAAGTGGTCTAAGGTCAGCAGAGGGTCGCCGGTGTGGGGATTGTGGGGCAAAAACATTGTGGGCGGAGCCTGCTGCGAGGTGGGCGGAGCCAGACAAAAGATCGGCAAAACGGTCCCAGAGCACTCCGAAGACCGGAAAAAAGTGGGCTAAGGTCAGCAGAGGGTCGTCGGTGAAGATTGTGGGGCACAAAAATTGGGGGCGGAGCCAGCCCGAGGTGGGCGGAGTCAGACAAAAGATCGGCAAAACGGTCCCAGAGCACTCCGAAGACCGGAAAAAAGTGGACTAAGGTCAGCAGAGGGTCGTCGGTGAAGATTGTGGGCACAAAAATTGGGGGCGGAGCCAGCCCGAGGTGGGCGGAGTCAGACAAAAGATCGGCAAAACGGTCCCAGAGCACTCCGAAGACCGGAAAAAAGTGGGCTAAGGTCAGCAGAGGGTCGTCGGTGAAGATTGTGGGGCACAAAAATTGGGGGCGGAGCCAGCCCGAGGTGGGCGGAGTCAGACAAAAGATCGGCAAAACGGTCCCAGAGCACTCCGAAGACCGGAAAAAAGTGGACTAAGGTCAGCAGAGGGTCGTCGGTGAAGATTGTGGGGCACAAAAATTGGGGGCGGAGCCAGCCCGAGGTGGGCGGAGTCAGAACAAAAGATCGGCAAAACGGTCCCAGAGCATAGACCGAATAAAGTGATTTCAGGGTCAGCATGGGGGTCGCCGATGGAAATGTCGGGAGTATACATATGTGGGCGGGGCCAGCCCGAGGGGGCGGAGCCAGACGAAAGTTCTCTAAAACTGTCCCAGAGCACTTCAAAGACCGAAAAGAAAACGTGGATTAAGGTCAGCAGAGGGTCGCCGGTGAGGATTGTGGGGCACAAAAATTGGGGGCGGAGCCTGCTTCGAGGTGGGCGGAGCAGCAGGGCGACAAAAATTCTGCCCCAGAGCGGTTCAGAACACTTCAGGACACCGGAAAAAAATGGGTACAGAGCGCCCGCCGGCGCAGCCGCGGCCGTATCAAAGGAGGCACGCCGGCGGTCAGCCGGCGAGCTGACTGGTAACGTATAGCTCTGTACCTAAGCGCGGCTAGCTGTGTTTCGTACGCCGAATAGTTGATGATGGTAAAATGAATATCAAGTTATCACAAGCCTCTACTAGCTCAACTGCCGTGCAGTTTCGAATCACGGAGTTACATATCTACGACATGGAGCGGCCCAATCTCGGACAACGAAAAAGAAATCATCACAGTCTCTCTTTGAGGCAAAACACTAGTTTCTCATTTTGCAAGGTGTCGTGTGTCGAAAAAATCAAGGAGTAAGATCTATAGGTAAGTCCTGACGGTGTGAAAGCTGCAGTGTATTACCAAAAATGAAGCCTCCAGGGAACGAGAATTACTTGGAAAACATGTTCGACGTGTTTGTATTTACAAAAAATGAATTCATATAATACAAATATACAATTGCAAATAATTATATAAAAATATGGGAGTGAACGGGTGAGACTCACTGGCAGCAATGATTAATGCTAACACATTAACTTTAGTGTTTTTGATTATACTTCTGTGCCGACGATGTTTGTAGGTGGACTTTTAATGGTCCTAGCTTTAGTGTCTTTCGTTTTAGCGTCACATTCCAGAACGGGTACAGTCAAGAGCAACTATAAACTTGCAACTGCTGTGCATTACGGAATTTCGCTAGAATTTTCGTAACTTCGATGCGAAAGGAAACAACTTAAAAGATTGCAAAGTAAAAGTGAAACCCACTTCATCTTCATACTGCAAAAAGATGCGGAAGTTGGAATCCTGCCGAAATACTGGATGAGCGGCTATCCTTTGTAAAAACACTTCATGCATGGCGACAGTTTTTTTGAACTGTGCCTAGTGAATCCTAAAACAAAGGCATTCAATATTCGAAAAACAGCTGAACTAAGAATTTGTCTGAGGCTTTATTCTGCTCACGCACACGTGAATCAAGTCGTGCAAAACTTCATAACATACTGTTCGAGCTCTTGCTTCATTTTCAAAAACTCCTCCTTCGTCATGGTCGCCTCTCCTTCACCAAGCTTCTGCAGCTTCTCTCGCGACGAGTCGAAATCAGGACGAGGAGGAGCTGGTGGGACCTTAAATACAGCGTAATGACGTCACAAACATTATTTCACACAGGTCAGCGTTCTATTGAATTGATTCGAACTCCGATAGTAGCTGTAAAAATAAAGACCACTGGATCACAGTGCCCTTTTCTTTGAAAAGAGCGACACCACTACATTTCCGATAAATTTTTGAGAGCAAAAACGCAAGCTCCACAACAACGCAAGCGTAACGGATAGCGCACTCGCCCGGAAAGCGTGAGGTGCGGGTTCGACTCCCGCCTGGGGCACGACTTTTGCCCACAACTCAGCATTCTTGTGATAGCTGTCACAGTTTCTTTCGCTGCAGTACAGTCTCTGCAGATCTTGCCCGCAGTAAAAGTGACGTTGAAAGTATAAAAACAGCAAACTCACAATGAAACCTGCATAGCTTTCGTTTTCATCCAACACACTATGAAGCCATAGGAATTCCTCATGCTCCCGCACAACTGATGTCTCGGCACGCATGCCTTGTAGACGAGTCTTCGTATGTACTGTGTACTTCACCTGAAATGGGATGCTGTAAGTCCTCACGCAATGGATCGATAAGGGACAAGGAGATAGATGCTTGCGGTGCAGCGACGCTGCTCCAGCATCATATTCCAGCAAATTCAGGGATTATTTTTATTCTGATACATACGGCAAGACTTGGAAAACTACTTCATTTACAGGGGATCACTAAAAGGTTAGCTGACTCCAAGTGCCCAGAAAAGCGCAATGGTCGGCTTACGCCTGAATCATTATTGATTATCACGATGGCTCGATGAGGAGTAAAGGCGTTATTCTGAGCGAACTTTTTCATAATTTAAGGTTAATCGGCACTATTGAACCATTCTTACCCCAAACTCGAAAAAATTTTTCGATAAAACTTTTTTCAAAGCTTTTCTCCCAAAAACCGATACGCATTCACTCATTCCCCCCTTACCAGCGCTATTTTCGTTTTGTTGAGGCTAAACTAAGAAAACATGAACGTCAGCCGAGCTCAGCCTCAGCCGACAAAAGTCGGTAGGAAACCAGCCTTGTGTCGGCAGGCTGGGGTAGGAATAGTTCAATAGTGCCGGTTAATCTACACTCTTCAGTCCAAGCTGAAATCAGTGGACATTGACAGAGGTCAAGCCGTCTAAAGTGTTAAACAACTAATAATCTCGCTAAAGACAAACCCCAGAACTGCATATTGCGTATAGTGATGTTCATTACAAACCTGTAGTCACTGGGTGACTAACCAGGGGAGAAAAAAGGGGAAAAAATAATGTAGAACACCCTGAAGACCCCCTGGCAGCCTCTCTGGACTCGCTTCATGCGAGCAAAGGGAAAACCTGCCGCCTCTGGCTCACTAAAACTTTACCGCGTCATCCCATACTAATACCATCTAGCAGGAGAACAAAATAACCGAAACGATTGTGTAAAAACTGAACTCCTGACAGGAAACAACCTTCGAGTTTCGGTGGGTGGGCTTACTAGAAAGGCGTCAGAACTGCCATTCCTATTACCACAGCGCTTTTATCTACTGTGAAGCCGCGAACGTGGGATTAGTTCGAGACTGGGAAGCCGGACTACATACACTTACAAATTGGTTGAGCGCGGGTCCGTTTTGAAACCGCTAGCTGTTAACCTTGAGGCAGCTGGAGGGGGCATCTAAATGGACTGTCTGTGCAAAACTGGGATTGACTATCAGAACAGAGATGAACTACACTTGCAATCGGTCCACCCACCCCGTAGCTCTTTGACTTTACGGCTAAGGCATAATCCCCATTCCCACTGAGGTAATGCCAGTTATGCACAAAGTCCCTAATTGCCCCCCCCCCCCTCCAGAGATTAGGGCTCCTCAAAATATCTGATAACGACAGTAAAACAGGAAAAAAAGAGAAAAAATAAGAACAGTGGAAGAGAAACGTCCAACAAACTGTAGGTTCGTACCTTATCTCTCTCGGAAAGAGCATCAGAGATATCGACCATAATAGCATTGTCAGAATCAAGATCCACATTGATTTCTTCAGTACGATGCTGTAACATCACAGAATGATGGTGAACAATATCACAAGACTGATCGATAGAGCACTCGCTCGATCGTTAGCTGATAACATACAGACATACATATTCACGCGCCGTTCATACATACAATAATCGCTATCAACGTTGCGTCATTCATGAGTCAAAAGTTACATGAAACAGCAAAACCAAGGGAAGACCAAGGTATATTTCGTTTGATGGAGCAGTGGAATCCCTACTGCTCTCATCAATTCGGAATACAGTAATAAAACACCAGACAGTATAAACCAGGTCAATACCTCTCCCTGGTAATTGATGAGGAGGAAATGCGACTAGTGGTGCAATTTACAAAACACAGAAGCCGCATAAGACTTTTAATCAGCGCAATTTTGTTTCGAACATCTTATCGTGCAATGTGCAGAACCCGTCATCGCTACAGCGCACTGCCGACTTCCGGCGCCCCTGTTTCTATATAAAAGGGACTGCCACAGGTTTGTCATAATTCAGAATCAGTTAGTTTGTACCCACTCCAAATGTTTTTAAGGCGCACTTCAGTCGACGAGAGGATGGGCAATTTTGCTCTTTGCGGCATTCATCAGTACCGTTTTATCAAGTTACTCTGGTGTAACTGCTGATCCCTTGTGAAGCGGCGAGCCAGCAAGGACCATTGAGCAATTGTCGGAGCGACATGCTCAATGGTGTTTCACTGCTTCACAAGAGTTCAACGAATACTTTTTAGAAAACTCGACAAGTAACCTCTGCAAACGTTGACTGGTATAATTTCGTGGCTTCACAAATTTTTAGTCTCCAGCTCGATGGCTTGACGCGATCGAATGGGAAGTAGCAAAACTGCAAAATGCCCCTCCCTCGCCTAAACTATCCCGCTTTCAAGATTTTCAAACCTCTCACATATCAGCAACTCTCAGTATGCTTCCACGGGTCTGCCTTCAATATAAATTATCATAATTAAAGGCTTCTGGAAATAATTTGAATTTATCCTTCAACTGAAGTTATATGAACGAAAAACCGACCAGGTAAGGACTACAGTAATCTGTCCTGGTATGCAATTCCCAAACCAAGGTTTCGTATATTTACAGTCTGTTCACTGCAGATGAAGGGCGGCTGCCAATGAGGCTAGGGTTTGGCATGCAATCAGCGTTCTCCAACCGAATGTTGAATCAGACGTATGCGACGACAATTTACTGTTGAAGGGAGACATATGAACGAATATTGATACAGGTTGTCATTTTATTCGCCTTCAATGACTGATTGGGTAATTGGGCTTGGCGCCGCCCAATCCCACTCCTTTTCGTTAGCAACTGTCTACGTACTTAGAAACCAAGTCAGCAAGCCGAACAGAGGATTGCCATCTTTCGCGTCTCGGAAAAGCAAGTAAGGTGGCCACGAAAACGTGGATTGTTGCTTAGTTTCTATCGGGCTTGATTCCCTTTTTCTCTACCCCTTGAAAACACAGTCCTGCCTTTTCCCCATGCCGATTAAATACACCTGCGATGGTCGGATGGGGGAGTCTGACAACTAGTGTACCCATCCTCGCTAGCGCTCTTTAACGTACCAGAAAGAGAAGGGACAGGAAGAGATTAAATGAGAAAGACAGGAAAATGGAAAGTATTCCCTGCTTCTTCATTTGCAAGAACATTCATTCATCCCTAGAGGGGTTTACCAGCTACATTCTTTGACGAGCAATCACAAGCACCATCCCTAGCGCTGTTCTCTTTGCCAGCGCTGAGCTGAAAAGTCCGACAATTAGGAAAATCTGCGAAAGGAATAAGGTGCATCCTCGTTTTGCCATTATCTCCAGAGCGCAGTCAACGAGAGTAATATTACATCTGTGGGATTTTTTTTGTGAAAAAGTCCTACGAGTTCCCCAGTCCCACATAACTACCCTCGTCATCCGGGCAGTTGATTAGGGCGGTCGTCAACGGGCCGCAGCGCGTGCCAGGAACTATTTGCTTTTTCCAGGCTAATTTAGTCATTTTCCAACTTTTCACTGTTTTGGCTACTTTTTCCCAGATTAGCAGCTCCTTTCTCACAACGGTTGCCGAAAAAAGGACTAAATTTTTCCGGCTAAACCCCGGTGTTTTCCCCCGGTGTAGGAGGAGGTAATCAGTGCAGAAGGCGCCACTGCCCTCGCACTGATTACCCCTCTACACCGCAACGAACTTTATTTGCTGTTTTTCCTCATGAGTGCTAGGTTGTATCTTTATCGGCAGATTTTTTCTGCGTTTCCTTTTATGCTGTGCCACTGTCAATAGAATGGTGAAAAAATGACTAAATTAGCCTGGAAAAAGCAAATAGTTCCTGGCACGCGCTGCGGCCCGTTGACGACCGCCCTAATCAACTGCCCGGATGACGAGGTTATGTCAAGGAATTGCTTTTTACCTGGTCTCTCCAAGAGCTCTCCAGTTTCCCTATCTTCTTTCTCTGGACCGATACGTATCCCGTCCTCTTTGAGAGACGTCTGATTCCCCAACGGCGCAGTGTTTAAGGTGGTTCTAGCTGCGAAAAGACTTCTGGACGCAGTTCGGTCGGTGAGGGGGGGGGTGAAGCTTGAATTGGTAGCTAGTACAGGCTTCTGTGACGATCTGCGAAATCTTCTGACCAAAGAGGGTTCACTTCACAGCTTAACAAGACTTCACAGGTCATACTTGGGTGAGACAAGTTATTCAATATGAACAAGCAGAAGAGACCAGCAGAAGGGCAGGATGCCCCTGCCAAGCCGAATAGCTCAGGTTTCTGACAAGTAACTTTGACAAATTCAAGGAAAACATGTAGATTTATGTAAAATAACTTACGAATCGGTTGTCGTTAGCGATGTTCCCCGGACTGCTTGGTCCATTAGTGTCGACGTCAACGAAGCTATCGCTGGGTACATCACATTGACTTGCTGGGGGCAGGTTCGATGGCTGGCAAAAACCTCATTTTCCGCTTCAACGCGCCTCTCTGTCTAGCCCATCGAGTGGATTTTTAAATACTTCTTCTCCGACCAACATCAACTGAAACCATCCATTCAAGAGTGATCTTCTGTCTTCATTTACAGGAATAACACGTGAACCAGAGAAACGAAACAAGTATCGAATTTTCGGTGACCCTGCCATATAAAAGCAGTTCGAACCTGAACCTTTTTGGAACAGTTGGCGGCGCAGTTTGCTCTGAAGGGAGTTGCGGAGGCGGGGGGGGGGCTTTTGCGACTTTCGTTACTTTCCATCATCGTGATCAGGGTCTTACAAGTTGACAGATATAGCAGTTTCTGAACTTCGACTGGTATCACTTCACGGTTCCACAAATTCACAATTCTGCACTTGATGGCCCGAACGACGACGAGAAGTGGCCAAAGTGCAAAATGCCCCCCCGCAGATAGCTTTGGGTGCGTCAAAAATCGCTTATTGTACTCCTACCCCTTTTCTACTTCCAAAAACGGCTCGGAATTTCGACCGATTTCTTCCTGAGGGGGCGATTTGGCTGAAAATTCTGACCTAGAGGTAGTTCGACCTCCTGAACACGCATATCACACCCGCTTGGCGTGAACTGGTGCCCGCGCCAAGACACCCTTAATCAGCAAATCCGCTGTAGATTTGCCTCCAGGGATATTTTGACATCCTGAACACGAGTATCACATTCTCTCGGCTCAAACGAGCATGGTGCCCCCGCCAAAACACCCTAGTTCACCAAACCCGCCGAAAAAACCCGTATACGGGGGTTATTTGACATTCAGATCACAAAAATGACAGCCATTTTTGGCGCTGGCCGATAAAGCAAGGCCACTCTGGCGATCTGCTAGGCTGAGCCTGGCCGTAAAAGGGAACCACTCTCCCACCCACTTTAGAAGAGGCGCTAAATGGCGCTAGTGTCGAAAAACGAATGCCATCCATATTCGTGATCAGTCAAACAACCCTATATATATGCAGGTTTTTATCGACTTTGATGAAAAAATGTGTGACGTTAAACATTCGTCGCCCCTAAAATGGCCACCAGGGTAAAATGATTGTCGCGTTCGTGATCAGCGCTACCGTTGATAACCCTCCAGTCCACACCATTTCCGTGAGAAAAGTGGTAGCGCAACGGTAGCGTCCAGAACGAATGCCATACTCGTGATCAGGACATTGAGGTACCCTTGTGGGTAAAGTTTCACCAAGAAAGTCTTTTCTTGTTTTTGGGGTAGTAATAATTAATAGTGATAGTAATAGTAACAATGAATACTGCTCAAGAAATGCGCTATTCTTCATAGCAAAGACAATAGGCCTTAACTAATTTGAATGTGTGATTACATGAAGGTATGAAAGAACAGAAAAGCATCAAGAACCGAAGAATGCGTTCCATCAAGAAGCGAAAATGATCGATTGATGGGTAAAAGGAGCTCAGGCTGACAGGCCGTACCCCCACCCCCTCCTTACGATGATTATTGTGATTTGTTTGGTGGTACTAAGGAACCAGCAGTAATAAGTAGCGAAATATACCCAATGATATTTTATAATGCGGGAGAGAAAGGGTGGGTTCGGGAAGGTTCGTTTCGTAAGTATCACAAAGTTTTGTTGGTAATTGCGTTGAAGGTGCAGACGCGTCGAGAGTGAATGGGAAATCCTAAACTGTCTTGCGAGTCATTGAGTAGAAAGGATAACAGGATGAGCAACCTTTGACACGAGCGCTCACTCTTGTGCATTTTACCCAATTTTCTCTTCTTTTTTTGCGTCTCTCTTCTTTAGTGAGTTTTTGGTAGGTTCTTAACTTTTAGATGATTCATATTGGAGAAGTAGCGTTTGGGAATCTATCAGACGACACAAAATGTGCAAAAAGACAAAAACAGTCATGCGTCGAGAAACTCTGCACTTTGTCGCGTGTGTCTCTGCGACCATGCAGGTTAATTTGCCTTATGTACCTAAGAGAATAGCGTACTTCCCTGGGGCTGAAACTGAGGCGGTGGGAAGGCTAGGCATAAACACCCAGATCAACACAATCTCGAATTTTTAGCATGGTAAACATAAATAGCCACTGTTCGAAAGCTATGCGGTCGCCGCCGCAGTTTGTTTCCTCTGATGAAAGCGCGTTTTTACAAAATGCCAGCAGACAACTGTGCAGCTACAGGGCTCCTGTCAACCGGATGCTCACCTGCTGCGAGGAGGTATTACAAAAGTATTTTCTCATCGCATCTTCAAGTCGAGCAGTTGAGGGGTAGTAGGTTATGGGGCTGTTGTCAACCAGAAGTGCTCTCGCTGCGAGGGTCCAGGGTTGTTTTCACGAGGCATCTACCAGTCCAGTAGTAGGGAGAAGGTAAAGGAGGAGGGATCAGAGAAGGAAGGAAGGAAAAGAAGGAGGGAGGAAGAAAAATGGAAAGAGAGGAGAGGCTTCTCGGTTGACAAGTGCCATGAGACGTTTTATCCGGGCCATGGTGCAATATACCGTCGGCGTTACCGGTAGCCGGCAATTTGCACGGAGGGTTCTGAGGCGTGAGTTTTCGTTTCCTGCGTCATTTCTTCCTTTTCTTTTATGTTGAACGCCAGTCAACGTAAGAAGGTGAGATTGGCTGGAATGCAAAAAAAATGAACAGCAAGAGGATGAGGGGTTTTGACTTCTCCGGGCGGGGTAGAGGCTTCTTTCCATTCATTTCTATCGTGAGAAGAATGTTTGAAAGCGATTTCGAAAACCTGCGCCAAACGGACCAGCGTATTACACCGTGCCAATTTTTTTTGTTGAAAACACGATGACGTAAAATCCTCCGACGTCGGAACAATGAACGCTTATTGCGAGTCACTGGTCCTTGGTGCGTGGTTAGGCATGTAATCTTTTCGAATAAAAAATGCGAAAATTCTGTCTTTTTTTTCTCTGTCGCGATCTTTGTTCTGTAAAAGCTCAGGACTTTTCATATGTTATTATTTCGATTATTGATTACTCTTTGAAACTGAATTTAATCTCCTGTAACTCCCCCCCTCGTTTCCTCGTTTTTTTTTTTAGGTACTTTGCTTTTTTATTTAATATACTCTTCGCTTGTCTCCACTCGGACTCAAATAGTGATCTATGTAATATAACGTCCAAATTTGCCCTTTTAAGGTAAGCCAAATGAGTGCTGCGGTTGAAGAGGAATGCGCTCCTTCGACATCAGGAGGTACTTGAACACATAAAGATTTCTCTCAGATCTGGTTATAGAATTCTTGGAATGGTTCTGGCAGAGCCTTTCCTAGAAGCAAGCTTTTGACTAGAGAGGGTTCACCAATGTGGGCTTATGTTAGATTCTCTGAAATTCAGGTACTGGGCCAAAGTCTAAAAATGCCGAGAAGAAGGCACGGGTATTCGACTTCGACTCCATTTTTGAAGAAACAAGAAAGGTATCAACATACTTAACTTTGAGTACCGCGCCTCCGCCTCTGTGATGTTATGTAATATTTTTGTATAGGCTGGACAAGCTCGATTCATTGAAGCTAGGGCCGGGACCGATGAGAAAGCTGTAGGTTCTTTTTTTCTAGGCGTGAACAAACGCCAGCTGCTGCTAATCCGTAAGCTTTAATAAAAGTGAGGGATGAGTCGCCCTGTTTCTGACACTAACGAAATTGTGCAGCTCCGCTTCTTTTTTTAGCGTTCCTTGGGCCGCGTTCATACTAATGCGGAGTAATGTAAATCTCGCAGTTGAGTTTGGTGAGGGAGGGAACTCAAATGGTACTCAGTCAAGCTTGTTCTATCCTCCTGTGAATGCCTCGAAAATCACCTTATTAAAAGGGCTCTTTCGCACAATTTTGCAGTTACTAGTGATTTAGGTTCGACCAAATTATTGTGATAACAGAAACCAACAATCGGGAATAGGCGAACTGCAGAATGACCCCTCCGAAATGAACAGCGCCATGAAAAATAAACGGAGTTTGAGAAATCTATGAATAGATCGACAATGCGCGATTTCGGGAATCAAGACAAGGGCTAGATGGAGATTGCGCTCGGTACTTATAAGGCAGCCGTTTCAGACTTCGCACTGGCAGCCGTCCTCTCGGTCACGCGTTGTGCGCGATTGATGCTCTCGAAAGCTTGCGCATCGATCGCATCGAACGCGCGACCGAAGCGCTGCCGTCGCGAAGTCTGAACGCTGCCTTAGGCATCTTCCGTGCATTCACCACTCGCAATACGTCAGTAAATTCTCGTCTAATCCTTTGCCGTCCCTTATTATCGAAATCGCCCCATTCCGATTACCCTCATTCTACAACCATGAACCAGGGCTTAGGGTAGCACTGCGAGGTAAAGCGTAGTTTCAGCGTGGAGCTTTAACGTCGCAACATTTAAATCATTCTTACGTTTGCACTGCAATGGCTTATTTAGAAGGAATATTTGTTTTTTCTCGTTTTCAAGTTTGTGTCTTCAGCAATACCGAGCGCGAATCACTGAAGGATAGTGGAACTGTGAGTGAAGAAGACGGTAGGTCACGACGATGTCATACGGTTGTTTCCTTGTTTCTAATGTTAGCTCCGTTTCAGACGATTTCCTACCAATGCTGCCTCCCGGCTTCGTCCCTGATCAAAGTGTTATAGTTAATTCATCAGAGTCCCAGAATAAAGATACGGGCGATGACGATGATGAAGATTTCGTAGATTACGTTGGTGATGGAGTGAGTTCTTTACTATCAAGGCTACATTTTTCATAGTATCATGGTTTGTTCAGATTCCCATTGTCAACCTTATTCCAACAGCATGCGAAGCAAAGCTAGTCCATGGTGGAAAACCAGTAAGTGATTTTTCATAAGAATCAATGAATACTTTTTTCTGTGCATCTGCCGTTGTTCCTGATATGTGGGAAGCTCGTAACCGACTTGTGTTGAGAAAAAAAGAGGCACAGTTTGGGCCTTTTTGGTAGGGGCATCTAGCTGGTCCCCATCGACCGCTGCAAATGTCTCGTGTGGAATCCTGTAAATGCTTGTAAGGCGCATTTAGGAGCGTACCATCACGTTTACAGTTGACAAGAGGCTCCAGGTCTTACCAAGCTGTGACTTAAATTTCAACAGCAACTAACAGAAGAAACTAGCGAATAGCAAAATACCACACCCAGGCCGAAAGCGCCGAAAGAAGTGTTAGTGTCGCCTAAAACCTGATTCATTTAGGTATCTGCCTTACGATTCGAGCCTAATGGTATACGATTTGCGTCTGGTGGTGTCGATTTTCAAGTGAAAGTGTTTGACTTCCAAAAAATGGATATGAGCTTACGTGCCGACAAGGACCTCACACCATGCGAGAGGTAAGTATAATAGTTTTCTATGTATAAATTTCTATTTTATGCGGAACAACGCTAGTACTCTTCCCCATAGTTCTTTTTAATGATCTAATTTCTGTCTTTTAGCCATATTATCACCGATATCGCGTTCAGCGCGAATGGCGAATCAATGATAGTTTGCAGTACCAAAGCACAAGTCCATCTTATTGACAGGAGTGGTAAACAATGGGCTGAGACGGTGCGAGGTATGCGCTATCGTTTCGAATTTTTTCATCAAATCACCATTACATAGGGCCCACAAATTTCTTACTCTTACTTATAAAAATCTATTGGTGTGTTGATTTGTCCAGCTAAAATTACTTGGTTGTTGGTTTGTCCCGCTATCCTTTATTAAGCTCTCCTGCTAATCTCTGGGCGTGCAAGGGAGACAGTTAACGGGAAACTGGTCGACAACATGAGCACCAACTTCAACATTATTTAAACCTGGTGTTAATATTGATTAGACCTACTTGAAAAAGTATGTAATTGTCGCGCTCGCTCTCTGCATGTCAAGACCTTTGAGTCGCAGCCGGATGTGAATAGGTGCAGAAGACGAACAGCTTACACACGGAATACCGCTGAACCGTACTGATCTAGTCAGAGCGCTAGGTTTATAACTCTCACAGCCAAGCATAGTGTAATGGCGATCACGTTAGGGAAATTAAGGCCGTAGATCACTTTCTGTCGCAAACGTTCTATTGCTGAAATGCAGAAAGGCCCGTAATTAACTGGAATATAATAATACGCGATACTCAGCGTGATAAATAACAAATATCGTTCAATGTGAAGGCATATGAATCATTTCTGGATCCAGATCACGTGCTGGAGCACTCCCTAAACTGTGTCCAGACTTCGCGATAACGCGCATCGACGCGCTGTAAGGATGGGGGACGCGTTGCCAGAACACGCAATCTGGTATTGATTGGCACTGGCCGCTAGTGCTTTGAGGGAGTATAGAAGAATAGGAGGGTACCAGATTGTGTGAAGGCAGCGCCTACCCTCCTGTCATCCTATACTCTCTCATGCATAAGGGCCTGTGATGTTCGATTGCCGCCTGCACCTGCGTTCGCGTCTATACCAATTTGAAGTCTGTCGTTGTCGCGTTGCACCGCTTGGCGGTCGCTCTGCTGGACCGCACGATCGCGAAGTATGAACGCGCCCTTATAAAGCGTCGACGCGCGTCTCCTCTGGCGCTCCCTTCGATTAGAACAAGGACTGGATCAGTTTGACCCTGCACTCAACCTTCTTTGTTCATCGATCGATAAGGAGGAAATCGCAAATGTCCAACGGTTTTTTGTCCTCGATTGACGTGGGCTTTTTATGTAGAATTGGTTTGAGGCGGTACCATCATGTGTTCACATTCCAGTGGCTCAAATTGCGAACTTCATTTTGGCCTTCCATTTGGAATTCTTCATGGAATCAACCTCCACAATTCGTTCCTCCTATTTTAGGAGATCAGTACCTTGTCGATGTGAGTTACACAAAGGGTCATACAGCAGCCATTAACTGCTGTCAGTTCAATCCAATAATCAAGGACGAGTTCATGACCTGTGGTGACGACGGGTAAGTCAACTATTCAAAAATGCGCAGGAAAGTTTCTGAAACCGTGTGTTTTTTTAGGACTATTCGGTTGTGGAGTTTATCAGATTACAAGGTTATGACAAAAACCATAAACACTCACAAAAAGGTATTCTTTTTCAACTTGTTCATTTACTGGCACAATTACTAATCGCGAACTTTCATGTAGGTTATAAAAACTAAAACTGCTGGTGGGAAAAGAGCAATGCCGCAATCATGTTCTTACTCTTTGGATGGTAAGCTGATTGTTGCTGGTTGCGACGATGGATCTATACAAATGTGGAAGTACGGAAATTTATACGTGAGTCGAGTAACTACAATTTGAGGTTTTTAGAAGAGTGCTCGAGATCTTTTCTGTCTCCTTTTTCTTTCGATTACCTTAAAAACTTTTCTCCATCTAGAGGCTTCGCTTTCTTTGAATTCTGTACGGATTTTAGGTAAACACTTTCTACCTTGTTCGAAATGCTCATAAAGGTCCAATCACCTCCATCGCCTTCTCTCCAGACTCTCAAAGGGTTCTGACGAGGGGTTTGGATGATGCTATGAGGATGTGGTCCATTAAGGACAATAAGAAGCCTATCCTTGAACTGACAAATTTAGAAAATGCGTTCAGGAGGTATGTTTAAAAGATATACAAGCTCTACATCCTCTCGGTGCTGCTCGGACTCACGTACAGCAGTTCAGTGTCCAGCATTTGTTTTCACTTATACCAATACCTTTCTAGGCACGCGATTGTGGATTTCTCTCGCACGATGCAGAGCCTGGTCTAAACAGACCTCACACAACTATCCTAGTCAGCCCAGGGCACTCAACAACAAGGTGAAGATAAATCCCCGCGCAAACTGCTGTTCTAACAGTGCGATCAACATTGATCTTAGTGTACAAAGGATCGAAGTATCCCTGGAGTGGTACTGGTACATTTGCGCTTCGATTTCAAGTTCTCAAAGTCTTGCCTCCGCTAAGGTGTGCGTGCATTATAATCTTGGCGTCAGCGTTTTGAGGCCGCCTGAGCGCGTTTTAAGGGATTTCCGAGCGCTTTTAAAGGCATTGCGCACGAGGGTTTCCTGCTTACTCCAAAATATGCTAAGTAGTGCGCTGTATACGCAAGGGAAATGGCGAAATAAAGCGGACGTGAAGAGCGGTTCCAAATTCCATCGAAGCAAAAGGCCTTCACGTTCTCAATGATCTTGTACTCGATTCGGAACCGATTTCCTGTTGGCATCTTACTCAATCATCAGCCGCTACCGGAAAGATAACGGCTCGCATAATCTGTACTACATATATGCAATTGCATCATCAATTGACCCCGCTCATACCAATCAATTCGCTTCATAATTTGCTTAGCAAATGAATCTATTAGAGCGTCAGGAACGGTCGTCCATTTGTGGGCGGCGGGCGTGGCGTGCGTTTGGGACGTAAAGTTGTGGCTTGATAGGGCCCTTATAAGGGCACCTTCCTCGGGGAAACCGCTATGCAGCGCCTGCCCAGGGTCGCGGAATTCTATCCTGCCAGGAGTATTGATCCTAGTCGTCTTGGGGATTTATCGTGCCAACTGCCTTTAAGGTACGTTAGCGCATGCCAGCGTTCGCCATCCTTTCGACTAGGAAAGTAGGGATATCGATCTAGCGTCTTGAGGTTATAGCAGCGTTTTGAGCATGCGACATCGTTTTGAACGACTACCCCCGACGAGTTCAAAACGTCGCGCGAAATGCTCAATCGCTCAGAGGGCTATATCGATGAATATACTTTCATAGTGGCTCAGAATGATGCAGTCGTACCGCAGTCAGATGGGGAGGCACCTCTTTTGGAATTTTCGATAGATATTGGCTCATCAAGGAGATTCATGTTACAGAGTTGCTTGAAAATAGATTGGCATCCTAAACTGAACCAGATTTTGGTGGGCCTCAGCGACGGAACTATAAGGTTTGTGCCAGTTCTTGGCTTTTATGTCTACCAATGACGTAACAGTCAGTCTTGTTCCAGAGTTTACTACGATCAAAAGCTATCCAGTCGAGGAGTGTTGGGATGCATCACGAGACCGATTCGAAGAAATCGCACTAGCGAGTTTGTTCGTGAAGAAATGATACTATCGCGTCAGTACTGATTATGTCTTTGATTTCAACCCGGAATAATGCGTCAGACTCGATTTGCTCAGGATTACTGTACATTTTATTTGTGATTTCAGCGCTCACTTTGGAGATGTTCCAACCACGTGGAGAAGAGGGTGAAGAGAAAGAGGTAACAGGATTCCGCCTCAAAAAATATCTCCGTATGCGAGACAATCAACAACGTCCACAATTTCGCAAGCCAGCCGATGTTCCTATTGGAAGAAGTGAAAATGGAAGAGGTGACTTTTTAATTTTTCAAGGCGAAATAATCACGTAATTTTTCTGACTATGGTTTGCGCGCTCCTCGTTTAGAATCATACGTCAAGTATTTGGATAACTTTGAGTAATCCTCGTAAAATTTCTCTGCGCCTTTGACTCCCTACATGTTGCCTTATTATGAAATGCGCTCGTCTTTTTCAAGAATATTTTCCGTTGAGTTTATTTCTGCTCATATGATTTCCAAGTTTTTCAGTTGTTGCTAGTGGTGGAAGTTTGCATTCTTATGTTGCTCAACAAATGGGAACACTGAAAAACAAGACATTCTTGGAGGATACAGACGTCAGGACAAGCATTTTACGACATGCGGAAGAGGTTTGACTTTTTCCAATTTCCTTTTTCTCGGTCTTTGAAAGCAATGTAGGTTTTGTAGTCTTTTAAAAGGTTTCAATATTACCATGTTTACTTATTTTTTAGGCTGCCAAGAACCCGATGTATGTAGACCTAGCCTATCGCAAAACCCAACCAAAGCCTATATTCCAAGAAAAGACTACGGCACCAGAGGAAGAGGAACCGGAGACGGAGTTACAACCAGTGTTCAAGATGCCTAGGCTAAACTGATCTCTGTTGTGACAATAAATGTTATTAAGAGTAGTACTGTTGTAATTTGATTTTCGATTTGTGCTGTCGAATGGCTACCTTCTTAACTTTTTCCTTACATCTGTAATGCGTATAGGAATGCACCTATACGCATTACAGATGAATTCGGTTTGAATTTCGGTGCTGGTTGAAACTTGAAAAATCTTTTAGCCCCATCAAAGTTCTGAGGATTGTTTCTCGTTACTATTCGCGAAAGCCTGCTAATCAGCTGAATGCTTTTTACAAGCCTTCTTACACCTAACATGTAATATATAAAACAGCCGCAGTAAGGCAGAAATATGAGTAAAATTTGTAAAGCAGTCGCTAGCGTGACTTGACTTCCTCTCTTCATTTCTTATCCATTAAAGAAGTAAGCCACATGCGACTGCTTGCTCTGCTGTATTGTGCCCCGCGGATGAAGGGGCGTGTCAGGCGAGTGATCAGAAGCGCGGGGGCAAATCACCATTCTCACGCCATTTGAAGCGGATTAGCGACAACACTGGTTATATCGTTTATCTGAGTCGTCTTCCACCAATTGTTGTCGCTTACCCGCTTCAGCAACTGGTAGGAAAACGGTTTGGTGGCCTGCCAAACTTCATCCATGCACGAGCACATTCTTCCGCACAAGGCTGTCTACACCCATGAGTCGTCCCTATTGTGTGTGCCTATATGCATAGACATAGACGTTTGATAGACTGGAGACTTTCGTGCGCCATTCATACGATTGAAAACTGGTTTCATTTCAGGTTATATGACACCACACGTACAATTCTGTGCTGTGGCCGATAATCTACGCACTAGGTGAGAAGTCGTGGGGATTTATATTTGTAAAGGGTTTGTTTCATGCCCTTGGCCTTTTCTTTTGTGTAGACAGATACCCTACATCCCTGAGATGTAGTGGGCGTGGCTGCGTACCTCAACTAAACGTGACGTTGGCTGCGCTTTTGGGGAGATATTTTCATTTTGACACAATGTGGTCGCGTCTCTGTCCAAAGAACAAAATGACAGTTTGTGTCACTGAAATAGCCGCCACGAGTAAACCTTATTCCATAGCCATTCGAATGCCACGACCCACTATATTCTCGAGTATAAAGGAGTGTAACTGTACAAGACTGATGTGAACTGCTTCCGTGGATCGAATTCGTGTCACTGAGTTGCTTCGACTACGTCAACATTCCCCCGTAACATTTGTTGGGCATCGCAAATGTAAGATAAATATTGTTTTGTGCGCATTCGTCAATCAATTGCATTCATCGAAAGGTTAAGGCCGGCCTAAGAGTATAAACCAACCTAAGTTAGCTTCCGCCGAGCCGAGCCCTCGCATATTCCCTGGGATTAAATCTAGTAACGCAGATTCATTATGGAACGATGAAGATATTGTCTAATACATTCGTTAGTTAGCCAAGTCATTGTATAGGCCACATCACATTCAATAAGCCATTACAGATCTGATAGAGCTAGATTGGACCGCATCCCAAAAAAGGATTGAATAACACTCCGGGCAGTAACTTCTTCTGCTTATCACTTCGACCCAGTAAAAGACCCCTTGTTTGACGAAACCCTATGTTGGAATCAATTTTTTTTTTTATTTTTCGGGCAGCGAAATCCGGATGACAACATGCCCGATGAAAACCAAAATGTGGCTTCTCTGTGCTTCGTCACCATCATACACTTACTTTTCAATCGCCAATCCCCCATTTACAAGACACGCCATTCGCTGGCTAGTTCGACAACCGGTCTGTATAGATAGAAAAATGAAGCAACTTACACAAGCTCGTATATTTTTTCTGAAGCAAAAAATATAGCTAAAAATTCGTTATGGACAGTGTTTATAACCATTTGAGAGGCGCCGATGCGCCAGTCTCCTATCAATGTTCCAATCTTATTTGCGTCATCATTGTCCACAGTGTTTGAAATTTTAGGATACTCGTTCATCTCGTTACTAATTTGGTTCTGCCGGTCGCTGCGGTGGTAGGAACGATTGGATATTTTGCCGAGAAGAAACTTATGCCGAAATCAAAACCAGTGCCGTACTTGAACTCATCGATTGTGGAGCAACGCGAAAAACGACAGTTATCCGCCACCCCACCCAAAGACAACGACGCCAGCCGCTTATCGTTACCCCGAACAGTTTAGGAGTTTTAAAAAACCGACGTCCCAGCTCGATATTGAGTACGGGTATACTAGTTCACATTATCGTAAGTGATTAGATTTCCAGAATAAGGTTTGCCAATTCTTACAATTTATGATCGAAATGATTATTAAACCTGATAGGTTGGATATTTCGTTACAAGCGTACAAATGAACAATTTATTAACCAGTAACACAGTGCACAAATACCCGAACAGAATCGGTACAAATGCCGTTAAGGTTGTGAACACACATGGCAACAGCGGCACTATGGCATCAGGTTGTAACGCTGCTACAGAGCAGGAACTACGTAATCCTTAATGCTTATGAAAAGCGGAACTTGTACCCATCAGTCCATGTGTACGCAAGTGATCTTTATAAATGGCTACCTTCAGCATCCGTTGCACGCTACTCGCGACTACCTCATGCCATCGTTGCCGCTATTCGCCGAGTATGATCGAGAAGCCAGTCGACAAAACAACATGAAGGATTCGAAGAGCTAGTTTACAGCGAAAATATGGCCTTAAAACATTCCATTTGAATTTCCTTACGGTCTCAAAAATTGTCGAATAGTGCTCATAAACATTTAAAATCATTCACTTTTACAGTTCTCATGAAAATAAGCAAAATTACTGTTGGGCAACATGTCAACATGTAGGTTAAGGTGTAATTGAGGTTTGATTAATTTACTTTAGCAATAATTATAGCACTCATCTCCAAACTGTAACATTTATCTCGATCCGCCGCGTGTCTCCTGCGACAGGCCACAGCAGATAGGGCAACGATACGGTTGACAAAAGGCGGCTTTTATTCCTCTTGTTTTATTACCAGGGGGCTTATTTTTTTACTTTCCTTATTTATTATTTAAACTGGGATTATGAAATATCGTGCAAAATCTACCGCTCGAAAAGGGCAGCAGATCGGCCTTAGCCGAAGTCCGTCCTGCGCAGACTTGGTCCGTATGGGCGCTCACAGAAGACACGCGTAGTTACAACTCAAGCATAGTTCTCCTATGAACGAAAGCACTTCTATGAAAGACAAAACCGTTAAGCGAGAAAATCGTCGGACTGTTCCAGAATGACGTCTTGCTCACAGACGGATTCTCGTCGCATGCTCTCTTTTAGAGTCTCCTTAGTCAAGATGAACAGCTGAAAGTATAATGATGTTGATGGTATAGTGACTTTGAATTAATGTGAAAGTGTGCGCTGTTCCGAAGGTTGGTAGAGATCCGGATGCCTGAAGACTAACTGCACCTTCACCTCCGTGGATCCTGGTCTTTCCCATGTGGGGGTGACTGGGTCTCAGCTGCAAAATTCAGCCACTTTCCGCGGTCAACATGTGCCCAGGATCGGGGCTGCAGGGTAATGGTATCAGGGTGCTGGGCCCCCACACTTCGCCGGCGCTGCCACACGTACAGCTACACGCCTAACCATGGCCAAAGGCGCAATTTGTCCCCCCCCCCCCGCTCACTCCTAGTTGTTCTCTACCGCTGAGCACGTGTTTCGCTGCAAGATCTTGCAAGTGCTGCTTGTTGAGGATAACGCGGACAGGTCCCTACCCTCCAGCGTGCGCATTTCTGACGGGGAAAGTGATCGCTGCTGTAGCTGCGGATCCATATGCCATTCAAAAGCACAACTGATTTTGCAGTTTAAAATGACTGGGAAGGATAGAGCCACTGGAAGGTGTGAACAACAATATGAGTTCTGATTTCTGCAGGTAGTGCCATTCATTCACCAGGAGTGGATCAGAGATGCGATAAACCACTGAGGCTCAGAGCACTTTTGATCCAGATCTCGCAGATCATCATGATATGTGATTACTACATGAACAGATCCACAGCTGACTGGAATGTGTCGCTTTCATCACGTGAAATTGAAGGAAAGCTGGCGAAAGGTTCTGCTGACACGTACAAAGCCTCCACAGTGGTCCATCGCTTCCGCCGAATAAGTTCAGTAATACATGGAAGGATCCAGTTTGTAAAGAGGCCTTCTACAGAAAAGAATAGCTCATTTGTTCTGTCACCAAAGGCAGAGACTTATAGAAAGACAAGTAGCGTATTAGCCTTCATTGGTCCTACGAAGACTTTCGCTTCGGGTGCACATCGATGCGATACTCGGCATGTAGATACTGTGAATAACAACATCTGCTCTGAAACAAGCAAACAATAGTCACAAAATTCGATACTTCCTCTTATTCAGCATATGTTAAGTTCACATGAGATGGCAAGGATAATCAATCGGTTCAAAATGTAGACTTGCGCCTACACTCCTTAGGGTGTCGTGTTCGATCATTGCCGAGGCGCAACACACTTTTACCAGCCCTTGTAAAGACTGTGGAATGATGTCTGGACTAGTGCCAGGCTCAAGTTGGCATGAATCACAGCCCCTTCACAACCATAGAGATTAATAGTCGCGAAAGTATCATAATTAGTGCAGGACATCACTGGGAAGTGACCATGGGACACTGCGATGTCACGGTATCAACGTCAGAGAAAAAAGAAGTCCACTCGAGGCCACATTATTCCCTACAGTACCCATATAATGGGCTACATACCACAGTGCTATTATGGAAGTACCACTGGTGCCATCAGCCCCTATTATGCTAGGCCTGAGCTGTTTACTACCTTCCTAGCACATGATGTGAGTTTACCTACTGAACACATGATGTAAGTTCAATAAACAACTGCTTAATGAACATACTTTGCTCCAATCAGCCGCTTCGTCGTCGAGAAGCTGATGGCGGGATTGTTTATTGTAATCCTGTGTCCGTCAACAAAAACCTCGACATGATCCAGCTTGAAACTCGAGCCAGTATCACCTTCGACTGAAATCAATAATATCTTTAGAAGACTTCAAAGAATAACTACAGCTCTGGATTACTACAAAACTTTTCTGTCATGAAAAACTCATATACGTTTCCCACACGTGTCCTCAAGTCAAATAAATAACACGGGGTAATCCCATGGACAAAGTCTCACATGAGAGTACCACCTGATGACCGCTTTTCATTGCCTTTGTTCTTCCAAGAGTCACGACTGTCATAAAACTTTTACGACAGCGCAGGAGCACTAGTAACATTTCAGCTGTCGATTGAAAATCAAACAAAACCCAGACCAGTTTTGAAAAGTCACATCCTAGTGCACTTGTATCACTGTATCATCGAGCTGTAAAAGAGAAAGTGCATAAGAATTGAGACTTGACGGGAGTAGACAGTACATCAGACCAGACTACTCCTACACAAATGTTCCTCCCACTTGAAGACTGGCGCGGTGAAGCATGGGTCCGTTACCTGCTCAGAGTTAGGGGCTGATATGAAAAAATTGCTTGGTATCAGTCTCAATATGGCCTTAAAGGCACACCACGCGTTCCAAAATTGTAACTAGTGCAGCTCACATATCAATGACAAGATAGTCAGTAAAACAAAAGCAAGGAAAAAAGCAAAGGACGTCCAAAATGCGCCATATAGAGCCCGATGCTGGACCGGCCGTGTTTGTACGTGCAGGAGAAGAGGTGAAAAGAGAGTGTGGTCGGACGAGTTCTCACTCGTTGGCGTCGGGATTTTTCCTTAATAGCTCATCCCACCATTTGAAATGCAGAGATTCCGTAGCGGAATGAGGCGCCATCAAGTCTTTAGAAATGAAAGGAGGCGTTGCTGGGCCCAGGCCGCGGCCTTGTCACGAGCGGATCGCGCTTTCATCAGAGAA